TGAAATAATCTGTACAACAAACCCCGTGACACAAGTTTACCTACATAACAAATGTGCATTTGTACCCCTGAACTCAAAAGTTAAGGCTGGGTGCAGGGGCTAATGCCTATAATCCCAGCACTTTGGGAAGCCGAGGCAGGTGGATCACCTGAGGTCAGGAGTTCAAGACCACCCTGACCAACATGGAGAACCCCTGTCTCTACTAAAATTACAAAATTAGCCAGGCATGGGGGTGCATGCCTGTAATCCCAGCTACTCAGGAGGCTAAGGCAGGAGAATCGCTTGAACCCAAGAGGCGGAGGTTGCAGTGAGCCTAGATCACACCAGCCTGGGTGACAGACTGAAACTCCATCTAAAAGAAAATAAAGTTGAAAAAAAGAAGTGAAGTTGCAAAGGGCTTTTTCCATTTTTTCCTCCTTTCTTTGGTTTCTTCCCATCCCCAGATCCAAGGCAAGTTTCATCCTTATCTTCGAGTTTAGGAGTTGGCCTGTGTCTGCCCCCAGGTCCTGTTTGGACCTGGCTTCTGGGAGAGAAAAAGTCCTCAATACAGAGACCCACACTCAGTGCTGGCCCCACCTCTAGCTCCCTGGTAACTCTAGGAAAGCAGACAGCTCCTCTATATCCCCATCTGTTAAATGGAGTTGTTATCATTTTCTTCCTAGTGATTCCTGTAGATTAATAGGGGAGATGGAGATGATGACATGGGAGAAATTCTCAATCAGCACAGAGCAGCGAAGCCACTGCTTCAGCCCTGCAGTGCTTATTACAGCATGTATTATTTTCCCGCCTTTGCCTTTCCCCACATTCCCTTCCCCTTTCTTGGGACTCATTTTGAGATCCCCAGTGGATAATACTGTGGTAAAAGAGTCCCATGGCAGAGATGGTCTCGGCCTGTCTTTATCTCATTTCCTTTATAGATGGCTCCTTACTTGCCTTTGGAGGCACTGACTGTGTTTGTGTGGCCTCTTATCCCCTCTGCATTCCTTTCCAGAAAATCTGGCTGGTCTCTGTGCCGTAACAAGGTGAGTTCTGTCATAACCCTCCCTCTGATCCCTGGTAACCGGGAAGGGACTTTAGCTGTTACTCAGTGGGTTAAACCTCCTGGCTTTACACATGGCCGGCAAAGTCTCAAAAGCTAAAAGAAGAGACTTGTTCTGGATGACATATCGAGAGAGTGGAAGAGCTGAGACTATAACCCGAGAGTTGAGGCTCCTTTGCCAGGGAACTTTACAATCCCCTCTTTTTTATAAGAAGTTTGTTTTCCTTTTTTTTTTCTCCATCTCACTCTGTCTCCCAGGCTGGAGTGCAGTGGCACAATCTCAGCTCATGGCAACCTCTGCCTCCTGGGTTCAAGAGATTCTTCTGCCTCTGCTTCCCAAGTAGCTGAGACTACAGGCTGTTTTCAGATTCTATTAAGGATGAGTAGAAGGAGATTCAGTGTTCAACTTCTTCACCCAGAACCCAATCCTTACAGAACAGCCTGATCAGAACCTTGAGATCAGCCCTGGTGCATGAAGAACACATTAGAGCTTTGGAGCAGGGAGTGGGCACAGCATAGCGAAGGAGGTCTGGGACTCACACAGGCCCCGAGAGTGGTCATCTAGAAGGGCCTCCTCAGCATGACCACTCTTGTGATCCCATCAGCCACAAACATCCTGGATGGTGGACAACCCAGGATTTGGGAGATCTTCCAGAAGCTTTGTTCCTTGCTGATTGAGGTCTAGACAGTAGCTGCTAGGGAGCATACCATTCTGTCCATGACTTGCATGTTTTTAAAAAATATTTCTTCTGATTGTAAAAAATATTTGTGAAGTTTATATAAAAAGATGTATGTCAGTGTGTGGACGCTGCAAGAACTGCACAGCCTCTGTAGACAAATAGAGGAATCATTCCTACAACAGTAACCTTGTACCTTTCACTCAACTTTTTACCTCTTCCAAATTATATCAATCCTTCAAAGTCTAGCACAAATTCCGACTTGTCCAGAAACCCTTTCCTCATCACTGCTGGCCCCAAAGATGACAATAGGAATGGCATCAGAAACCCTATTTGTTAACCAGAGCAATCATGCATTTATTTATGAAACAGTGCATACATAAAAGGATTTATGCCTAAGGTTCCTAAAGATGAATCAGACATGAATCTTGTTCTTCAATTGAACGAGGAAACTAGACTTCATAGCTACATGATTGCTCTATAAGTATAGTGGTAAGTGCCATGTAGAATGTAATTGAAGTGCATTGGGAAAGTCAATGACATAAATATCACTTTAAAACTAGCATAGATCAGGCAAGTGTTTCTGTGGAAGGTAGCATAGGAACTGGGTCTTCAAGGCTTAACCATGTGACACTGGAAGGACACTCTATTCAGAGAAAACAGCATATGCGAAGGTGGAGATGTAGGAAATCACAGCATTTGCAATCTGATGACATGAGTCAGAATAAGGGAAATCAGGGCAGATGGTGACCGTGGCCATGGCCCCCCCAAGGAACTTGCTTAGACTTGAGCTACTGCCCCCTGCAAGGCAAGACTTTGGGATCTGCAGGGGCACAGCTGTAGAGACTGTGGGAGGGGGTTTTTGAGTCCTAAGAGGGGTCACAAATAGATTCAAAGAGAATTGAAGGAGAAGGGCATGACTGCATGGTCCTTGAGATGCCTTGGGTTACTGAGGGTGGTGTTATGTGTGGTGGTTAAGAGCAGAGCCTCTGGAGTCAGACTACCTGGGTTAAAATCCTGCCTGTGACATGTGCTTTATATGACTCGTGTTCTTTCTGTACATCTTATGAGATGAATACCTCAGTATTAATTACAGATAATTTGGAAAGTAGAGAAGAGTAGAAGGAAGAAAACAAAAACCACCTGTATTACTACTCAAACTAAACTACTAATAAATGCTTGGTATTTCCTTCTAGTCTTTGTGTGTGTGCGTGTGTGCATGTGTGCGTGTGCGTGTCTGTGTGTGCATTTGTTAATATAAAATCATGTTGTATAATTCTGCATCTTACTTTAATCATATAACCTTATATCATAAGAATTTCCTTTAAAATGTGTTTTTGAAGTATTTTTATCGTCTTCATCAATATATGCTGATGATACATAAAGAAATAAGCACTTTCGTATATTTGCTTTTCATCTTGCCACTTCTGTTTTAATAACTCTTTTCCTACAAATAGCCTTTTTCTCTCTTTCCAACATATAAACTTTTGTTTTCTATTCCTTCACAATAATTTGCTAGTGATTCTAGGACAGGTATAAAAAATAGATGTAATGGAGAGAATCCCTCTCTTGGGCCTGACTTTCATAAGATAATTTCTTTTTCTCCATTCAGAAGGATATTCTAGTATCCTTCTATTCCTAGATAACTACAACTGGGTGAGTTTTTTTTTTTTTAAGAATGGATTGTGACCTGTAAAATGTATGTTTTAAATAATTGATTTGATGTATTATATAAATACATTGATGCATTAAAATATCCATAATTTCTCACAAGTTAATAATGGTGGGTTATTTTAAAAAATATTCTAATTGTTAAAATTTTCTGTAGTTAGCTATATTAGCATTTTGCTTTTATACTCATAACTAATGTTCTCTAGTGATATTTTTTCTTCCTAAAATTTTTAGATTTTAGCATCAGATATATGCTAACTTCATAAAAAGTATTGGGATTCTTATATCTTTCTCATGCTATAGGAAATTTTATATAGCATGAGAATATTCTAGTCATTAAAATTTAAACAAAGCTTTTCTCATAAGCTTTATGAGCAAAGAGATTCTTACTAGTAAAATGATTCACTTCATTTTACTTTTAATTGACAAATAATTTTATGTATTTATGGAGTACAGTGTGATTTTGTAATATATGTTTCCACTGTGGAATGATCAAATCAAGCTAACTAACAAATCCATCACTATCACATACTTTTTTGTGGGAAAATATTTAAAATACATTATTTTAGCAATTTTGTTCAATGGCAACATTCTTTTATGGAGTGAATTTTATATGTTTTTCTTGTTTATTTACCCTTTTTTCCTTGTAGAATCCATGTTTATGTGCTATGCAGGTTTGTTTGAATCCTTAAATGAAATGAGTTTTTGCCAAACTATTCACAAGATGCTATATCTTGCAAGGCTAAGACATGTTTCAGATGAGCAGGAACTTATCTTGTGATTCAAAATTGGAGGTAAATTATTTTAGCTTTTACTGGTCTGTAATGAATATAGACAGGTAACTAGAACTGTTAGAAAAAGCTGTATTTTTCCTAATTTTTGCCTCCAGTCTTATGCTTTATCTGTACCCTGTGAACGTAAGTCTTCATTTTTGCTTTTTCTCTGCTTCTTGAGTCCATCAGAATCAGAGAAGATTGCAGTGCCATGGATGCCTTGCACCATACACCCATTATTGCAAACAGGGGCTTTGTTTTTTATTGATTGCCTTCCCTGACTCACCCTTTGTTTTTAAGAGAATTATACTCATTTAACTCTTCTACAGTCATGGAGTTCCTCTCTCTGCTTCTTGTCACTCTCCCCTTTGATCTTTACTGTTCTTGAAAACATCCAATCTAGTTTATGGATTGGGGTTGTGGATATTTGTGAACTTCTTTGAAGATAAAATCTGTGTGCTTCTTTTCTTCCTTGTTTTGGAAAGAGATGCGTTCTCAGAAGAGAAAGTTTTGGCTGTGCTCAGCCATGTTCACACCAGAAGTATGCTTTGCTTATTTTTCCCAAGGGTTCATCTTTCATAATCTTTACAAATAGGTTCTTACAGCTGGGGGGTGGGTTCAGGCAGGGAGGTCCACAGTGATCATGTCACCTGTCCTTACAGCTGCAAATAAAGAAAACTTATTCAGGTGGATGTAGTGAAAGAATAAGTAAGTGTAGTGTGGCCTAAGGGGCAGAACACTCCTTACTTGTGCAGAGGGAACACAGCAGAAGGCTGGGCAAGTAGAGGTCTGTTTCTTCTTTCTGAATGAATCAATTAATTGAGAGGATGAATTCTTTTCCTCCTTGGATGTTTCTTTGAAGGAACTCATGCAGCAAGAATCTGGGGCCAATGGAACGGCCATTGCTGAGTTCATCCTGCTGGGATTGGTGGAGGCACCAGGGCTGCAACCAGTTGCCTTTGTGCTCTTCCTCTTTGCCTACCTGGTCACAGTTGGGGGCAACCTCAGCATCCTGGCAGCCATCTTGGTGGAGCCCAAACTCCACACCCCCATGTACTTCTTCCTGGGGAACCTCTCAGTGCTGGATGTTGGGTGCATCAGCGTCACTGTTCCCTCTGTATTGAGTCGTCTCTTGTCCTACAAGCGTGTAGTTCCCTATGGAGCCTGCCTTACCCAGCTCTTCTTCTTCCATCTGTTCGTTGGAGTGGACTGCTTCCTGCTGACCGCCATGGCCTATGACCGATTCCTGGCCATCTGCCGGCCCCTCACCTACAGCACCCGCATGAGTCAGACAGTCCAGAGGATGTTGGTGGCTGCGTCCTGGGTTTGCGCTTTCAGCAATGCACTGACCCACACTGTGGCCATGTCCACACTCAACTTCTGTGGCCCCAATGTGATCCATCACTTCTACTGTGACCTCCCGCAGCTCTTCCAGCTCTCCTGCTCCAGCACCCAAATCAACAAGCTGCTACTTTTTGCTGTGGGTTTTCTAATGGCAGGTACCCCCATGGCTCTCATTGTCATCTCCTATATCCACGTGGCAGTGGCAGTCCTGCGAATTCGCTCTGCAGAGGGCAGGAAGAAAGCCTTCTCCACATGTTGCTCCCACCTCACTGTGGTTGCCATATTCTATGGTTCAGGTATCTTTAACTATATGCGACTAGGTTCAACCAAGCTTTCAGACAAGGATAAAGTTGTTGGGATTTTCAACACTGTCATCAACCCCATGCTGAACCCAATCATCTACAGCCTCAGAAACCCTGATGTGCAGAGTGCCCTCTGGAGGATGCTCGTGGGGAGGCAGGCACTGGCTTGAGGAGGTCTCCATTGACTCTTTCTCCCTGTGTCTTTTTGTACTAAAGGAAAAATCGTCTAGAGCCAGAAACTAGGAAAAACATGGTTCAGACCTGTTTCTATCTCCCTGGGCATAAGAAGGACTTTTTGTAGGGAAGAATAGCTATCATTTCTTAAAGCAGCCCTGCCCAGTTTTAGGCAGTGGGTGTAGAGTTTCTGCCAAGCCAGCCCCTTAGACAAATTACTTCAGGCACTGTGTTCTCCCCTTTCTGGCTAGAGGGGAAACCTGGGAAGCTGTGAATGCTTACAGGCTTACAGAGAGGGAATGACTCTTTGTTTGGATACAGCCTGGGTTCCCAGAAGCACCCCAGAAAACTTCCCCCACCCCAAAGTCATCTTTTATCCTCAAGTTCAGGTATGCTGCATCTGTTTATAAATCATAGGTCTAGAGATTAGGATTATTTTATTTCTCCCATCAGAGCACTATAAGCAAAAATGAAACAAACAGAAACAAAAAACAAAAAAGGAGCTCTTTCGATTCCCATTAAACAAAGATCCCATAGCATCTCCAGGGGGCAGAGGGGAAGCTGTATGATGATGTGTCCCCTAGTAATTCTGGAACACGAGACCTGTGTGCAGCTCAAAGACTTGCTTCTAAATGCTCAAACTCCATTAATATGTATTATATATCTTATGACACAAAAAGGAATTTTCCTCATCTTTTTTCCCCATGTGTTCCAAATTTTTTGAAAAGATATGAATTTATAATCTAAGCATTATTTACATATTTCAAAATCTCCAAGATTACTCAATGTGAAATTTCCCCAAACCTCTCACTCTTACTCTCCAGGCCTCCTAGCCAAGATAATCCGTAAGTATAAATGCAAGTTCACCATGTGGTGAGGACTTGCCCGACATTTCCCTTCTCACGAGGGGAGCGTGGCTCTGACCCAGAGCATTCTCTCCACTTGCTTGCTATTAGACCGGCCATTATTTCACTGTATCTTCTTTTCAGCCTCCCTTTTAGGATACATTCCCCACTCCTGTTGTTTCCCAGCTCATTTCCCTAAAACTTTCCTTGCAGTGGCACCTGTGACTTGGCTTCTCCATGATATTTTATGCGGGTGAGGGATTGAACAGATGGGATAAGCTAGAGATAAAGAGAAAAGACACCGAAGAGGGAAGCAAAGCAAGATTGGAGGAGGAGAGTGGGTGGGAAATGAAGAGGAGAGATGAGGAATATGGAAAGCTGGGATAGAACTGCAACTGGAGGGGCAGAAAGGGAAGCAAGGCAGTATTAGAGAGGACCAAATGGGGTATGCAGAACAGGAAATGAGAAGGAATGGAGGAACTGGGTAAGATGCCTTGAGACTATTAAAAGATCAGAGGAAGAAAGTGGGGGATGAAATTAGTGGGTCAGACCTGAGAGGTGTGGGCTTCCCAGTCTACGCTGTCCAGAAATAACTAACTCCTGTGGCCCTGATGCCATCATCACAGTCCATCTTCTCCATTAAGGAGGAAGTGATTGATATTTTAAGTTATGCTGAAGGTACAAAAAAATAGTACAGAGAGGACTCATTTTCTCTTTCTCTAAACAGAGGTGCTCCTAGAATGTCAGGAAGAAGGTTTACTAGATTAGAAAACAGAAGAAAAGAGTGCTGGGTATTTTCTCCAGCTACATATCTAAAATGTCATCAAAATTTGTGGCAAACTGCCCAACTGACAGTCCATACTTTTGAGTCATGCTGGCTGACAGTGTCACAGACATCGGGAAAAGAGGTCTTTTTCCGTGTCTTACTGTGTCATCAGACAAACTTCAGGACACAAAGAGTGAGTCTCTTTCAAGGGTCAAGAAGACTGTTGGGGAAGCCCTGTGATGTGGTTCTCATCTCATTTCTCTCACTCACAAAGCTCTTCACCTTGAGTCAGTTGATTACTTCCTCTGGATCTGTTCTTGACCAAAAGCACTAGGTAATATTAAGGTTCTTTCACTGCGAATGTTCTCTGAGTGTGTTAGTTTGAATGAATGGAAGGACTATCTGTTTACCCTGAGAGAGCTACCACCATCCCTTCTTTTGCTGCATTTAACACCTGCAGCCAAGTAGAGTCTGCTGTTTATCTCCAAAGATCCCAGTGCCTCTGGCATTTCTTCCAGCTGCTATTGACTTCAAGCCTCAAGGAAAGATTTTTGTCTTGGCTTCCTTGTCACTCAGGTGGAATGGAACAACTGGGTCCATCATCATAGAGCATGGCCAAGGCCTGATTCCCAGCTCTGTGTTCACCCACTCCAGGATCATAGGGTTTCTTTAACAATTTAGGAAACTGTTTCTTTTGGAATTTTTCTCCCTTTTTATATTCCAAGCTGAAAATCTCCTTGCCACTTAAAAATTCTATGATAACAATACATCATGTTGTAAATGTTCAAATAGCACAGAATGTCATCACCACCCTTACGCGCCATCCCAACAAAAATCCCATCTTTAAAAGTAACTGCTTCATTTCATGTTTAGCTTTCCAGCAGTGAACACACACAAACATACATTCCCATGCATACATTCAAAACCATATTTTGTAATTTTACTTTCCTCTGTCTATATTACATAGTATAATTCTTACATGTGAGCCTACAAATCTACCTTTTCCATTTTAAAGGCTGCACAATATTCCATTTTATGTAAAATTATAATCTATTTAACCAAACCCCTATTGATGTAATTTAGTTCCTGTTTTTGCAACTGCTAATATTTAGATTAGTAATTATATATCTATCTGATATCTGAAATTATGTGATACTGAGATTAGTAATCATGTATCTATCAGAATATCTAAAATTACTTCCAGCAGCTAAATTCATGAATGCAATTTGTGTGTTTGTGTATAAGCACATGTGCACTAAAGGAGATACAAAATTTAAAGTTGGATAAGTATTCTGTCTTTGTATTTGCCAAAATAAATGTACCCCATTTTACATCCAGAAGAGCAGGGTATGCAAATGCTTGTTATGTCACATCTTTGATGTCATTGGATGTTATATATGTATATTTTTATATTTGAAAATTAGATGAAATATTGTATTATTTTAAATTTGAATTTCTACATGTATGTGTGTGGTTGAATAATTATGTACAGTCGTGTGTCACTTAATGACAGGGATATATTCTGAGAGACACATTGTTAGGTGATTGTGGTATGTGAGCATCGCCTACACTTGCACAAAGCTAGGTGGCATGGCCCACTGAACACCTGGGCTATGTGAAATAGCCTGGCAATAGCCTGCTGCTCTGACCACTGCCATGTACGCAGCCTTGTTCACCCAAACATCATTATACAGCACATAACTGTGTTTATCTGTTACTTGCATTTCTCCTTTGCAAAGTTCTTGTTCTTTTTTCTTTTGTTTTGCCTGTTTGGTGGTGGTTTATCTTCACAACCAAATGATTGGTAGAAACCCTTTCTGTTTTAAAATGGTAATACTTTGCCTTATATGTTGCTAACGTACTTTCAAATTTCCCATTTGTCTTTAACTTTGTTTAGAGTACCTGCTGCCCAAATTAAGTTTTGTCTTTTATGAAATTTTTCTTCTTGGTTTTATGTCATGCTTAGAAAAAAAAGCTTTTTCATCTAAATGATTTATATGTCTGATGTTTTTCTAGTATTTTTACATTTTAAGTCAAATATTTAATGTATTTAGAGCTTATTATTGTGTATGTTCTAATTTTTTCCTAGTAGCTAATTGTCTCAACACAATAAAATGTGTTTAATTACATACACAGTGTATGTGATAATATATATAATAGAAAAACATAAATTCAGCAAAAGGAAAAATATTTGAACTGAGACCTGTGCTGCCACCCAAGAAGCAAGTTTGCAGTTGAAGCCCAGTCAAGAGAATTCCCTATTAACACACAGGAAATGACCCAGGATCAACAATCTCCTCTAGAATCTCCAGCAGAACTTCATCTGCATATTGTCCAGGACATAGTCCAGAATTACCCAATCTATGAAGAATCAAGAAAATGCATTCACCAAAGAAAAGAAAATCCAGCAAGTCCAACTCTGAAATGAACTAGATGTTGACACTAACAGAGAAAAATTTTAAGCTGCTGTTATAATTACCCCAATTAGGTAAAAAATTGAACATGTTTTCAATAAATGAAAATCTCAGCAGAGAAATACAGACAATACTGTGTACACAAGGATGCAGAGTGGAAGGATAGAAAATGGAAACTCAGAAATGTGAGTAGGGGGTGGAGGATGAGAACAAGTTACTTAATGGGTACAATGCACATGATTTGAGTGATGGAAACCTGAAAACCCTGACTTGACCACTATGCATTCTATGCAGGTAGCAGAAATATGAGTGGGTGGGAGGGGGGTGGATGATGAGAAATTACTTAGTGGGTGACAATGTACATGATTTGAGTGATGTCCCCATCTCAATATCTCAAACTTTAAAGTCTCCTTTACCATATAAAGTAGATTCCAGGATTTAGGTTGGATATCTTTGGGGCCCATTCTTCTACCTACCACAATCAGAGAGGGGAATTCTTTTCAGTGAGTGAATTCTTTCCTCTTGATTCATAGATGTGATTTCTTCTCTCAGACTATTCTGAGAGCTGACTTTAACTGGAGGCACTGAGGGAAATGTAAAATGTTCTTGAGAGGACAAGAATCATCTCACGTGACACTTCTGCCTCATATCAGATATGTGCATGGTCTTCAGGCAAAAGGAGATTGCTTTCCTCCAGCCAGGAAAGGGCTTCTGTCCTGGCAAGTGAATTCAGGGGAATTCAAGGATTCCAAATTCTCATGCTTATCCACTGGAACATCCCCATTTCAGAACTCAGGGTCTCACACCTTCCCTACCAGGGCCCAGAGTTTAACAGAGGAGACCTGAGCAAGCCACACACGGAACCTGTCTAGTCGCTCTCCCGCCCTACAATGAAGTCTTAGGGGTGACTTCCACACTGGGTGCCAATGGCTGCAGAAGATTCATGTCTCATTAAGTGTTGCCATGGAAGGTTCCTGTGTTTTGAAACATCCCCTGAGCTGATAGGAGGCTAACCTGGGACTGTTCTTCTTCTTCTAGTCTTCCAAGAAAGCTAATAGAAGTCTTAAAATTCCAAAGGTCTTATAATTACCATGATTCTCATAACATTATCGTGTTAGAGCTGACACATAACCTAACATTTCATCTTCCACTTGTACCTCATCCCAAACTATCACAAGCAAGTTTGTGTAATTATAATGTCATCCTCTAGGGTTAATCGCCAACCCCCCATACCCAAAGAGTAGTGAATGGTGAATGAGCCTGTCTCAGAATTCCCATGGGAAATTTGCTTCCTGGGGCTGCTCGAAAAACCAAGAGCCTTAGTTGGTTTCTCTGCAAAGCAGAGCCTGAGACAAGATGTGCATGCGTGGTCTAATCAGGAGGTCATCTCAGGGAGCATGGGTGAGAATATTGATTTGGACGGTGGAACCAACACAAGTGATTCACAGAGAGGGTGAGGCAGAGAAGGGAGAATCATCCCTTACTAAGGGTACATGACCAAAGTCCTCTATGGACAGAGAAGGAAGATCCATCCCTTTGTGAGGAGCATATAACTGAAGCCCCTGTCATGGAGGCAGAGACTCGCCTGTGCAACAGCATACACAGTGCCTCCAGTAAGGGGTGAAGCCAGCGGCTGGTGTTTCCCTCTTGGCCCCACTCTCCATTGTGA